GCTAACTTGGCTAGAAAGCATGAGCAATGAAAATTAGGGGGGGAAAAATTAAATTTCCTTATTTATCATGTTGTAAGGAAAATTGTTCATGTTGCTTTTATAAAAGTTAACACATAAATGACTACTTCATAATGCTAAAATTCTTTTATTTCTCATTAGGAGCATCCAGCATTTCTGAAAATGAGAACTATAACCATGGTAGACTTTGTGTTCTGCTTCTGAATGCTAAAAGTAGAAACCACCCAGACAGTACGATTCAGTGGTTTAGTGTCAAGCTTTGAACCAGATGACCAGAGTTTGATCCCAGTCAAGGCAAATGCCCTGGTTTCAGGCTCCATCCTCAGTAGGGGATGTTCAAAAGGCAGCCAATCAATAATTCTCTCATCATTTATGTTTCTCTCTCTCTCTTCCTCTCTGAAATCAATAAAATACATATTTTAAAAAAGAAAGGCAGAAACTGAATTGGGATTCACTAATAATTTTTCTTTAGCTAAAATTCCCATCTTCACCCCAGTTTCATAGTTGTGAAAATCACTGTGATATGTATGGCACTTTTTAATGAAGGACTTTTTGAGTTAGCTGTCAGCATTTTCAGGGATGGCCTTCATGCTTTGTCCAAATTATGCCTTTCCACAGAAGCCCCCATCCAATCATTTGGGGTTATGAAGACCCAGTGATTTTGGCCCTACACTGGCCAACTCTACTGGCCATTCAAACTCCAGAGTGTTCTACAGGGTTAGCTGAGGTTATGGTAGTTACCCAATCTTGCTTTTTACCTTTACTCCCACAAACCAGTCCCAAGGATACAACCAAATAAACACAGCACATACTAAACTTGACCTCAGAGTCTGCTTCTCAGAGAATCCTAAGGATGAAATACTCTATTGTTCCCTGGGAGCCTTCTGCATTGTTTCCAACTCAGCATGCCCCACGGTAAGTGTATCACATGTCTCCAAAGTTCCTCTCCCATTGTTATTTCCTGATACCTGAGCATAACACCACATATCCTTGGATTATTCTGTATAGAAAATAGTGATTTTTTTTTCACTCTTCCATTGTCATTTCCCTACTTCCAAATAGGCATCGTATTTTATAATTTTTTTCAAATACAACATTCCTTTCTGTTTCCACTGCTAGAACTAATGTCTGGGTCCTTATGCCCTATATTTGAGTTACTTTCCTATTCTGGTCCTTCATACATATAATTTATAAATCATTTTCCTAAATCATCCTATATAATAAAAGCCTAATATGCAAATAGACCGAATGGTAGAATGAATGGTGGAATGACCGGTCACTATGATGCCCACTGACCATCAGGGGGCAGACGCTAAATGCAAGAGCTGCCCCCAGGCCAGTCAAGGTGGGTTCTTTGTCTCTTCATGTGCCCTTCTAATTGGACCCTTTCCCCATTTTATGACCCTCTGCTTTTCTAACTGGTCACTCTTTTGCAGAATATCAAAGTCCAAAACTTACTGGGTGCCCTCCTCTTTTTTTTCTACCATATTTTACAACATTGCTGTATCTCCTGTGAAAATGTTTCCCTATTCCTGGCATCTGTCAACATTTCTCTATACTCTGTGAAAGTTATGTTTCCTTCTTGTGATTTTTCTTTATACTCTGTGAATGTAGGCCTTCCTCTCCGCTTATCCTGTGGCATTTTTATGTTCTCTGTGAGTGTATGCCTTCTGACAGCTCCAAGCCCTCACCTATGCATGGACCCTTTTTCTTACCTAAACCTGCCTATTTTGTCCCTATAATTCCTTTCAGTAACATTTTAAGATGCGATTTACAAAGTAACAATTATGCTTCAATATTTTTAAGTAAACATTTCAAATACTAAAAAGCTTAATATTACTATTGGTTTCTTAATATTACTACTGGTTTCTTCAAATCAGGATGCACATAACTTTTTGGCAGCTAGACATACTACCAGGATTAAGAAAGCTATTAGCAAGAGGGCCCTCAGAATTACATGTTAGACTCTCTCAATGGATTACTGCAAGTGTTAGGAATCAGAATGGTGTTAATTTGAGGAAAAATAATCTGGGGAAAATTCTTTTCACCATTTTCTTAAAAAAGCTATTGTTTTTAATGCCATGAAACAATAACATGTATAAAATCAGACCCCTGGAATTTTGTATTTTAATCTAAGAATCTGTAAGAGTTAAGATCATTAGAATTACTCCACAACTCTGTCTCATTAAGGTTTCATCTTGTTGAACCATCTGAACTTCAAAGGTTAATAGAATAATCATTTTTGTTTCTTAAGGAAATAATGAAATTATACAGCTATTGTAATACATGCACAAAAGAAATTTCTCCCTTTTGTTATGGGAGAGTCTGCCTTATAGTTCAGCCTACTTAAGTGGACACGTTACAAAGCCACCACTTTTGAAAAAAAAACATTTTAAGATCTACAATCTCAGTTGAGTCTAAGTAGTTATTGACAGTATCCCCTAAAGATATTGACTGTATGAAATAATTGGAGATGCTGAAAGAACCCAGGTGCCCAGTAGGGAAGAATGTGAACCCTGTTCACAACTGTAGTAGAAATATACAAATATATAAATATATAATGTTTTTATGGACCTTTCCAAGGAAGTTGTACTGTAAGGAAAGAAAATTACATTTGTGGAAGACTGCTGATGGGTCCCTTTAAAAATCAAAACAAAAAAACACTTATTTTTTAAATATATATTTTACTGATTTTTTTACAGAGAGGAAGAGAGAGGGATAGAGAGTTAGAAACATCGATGAGAGAGAATCATCAATCAGCTGCCTCCTGCACACCTCCCACTGGGGATGTGTCTGCAACCAAGGTACATGCCCTTGACCTGAATCAAATCTGGGACCTTTCAGTCTGCAGGCCAACACTCTATCCACTGAGCAAAATTAGTTTTGGCCGATTGTCCCCTTTTGTAGTAGTATGGCTCCCAATTTTTATCTGGGCCTATGACCACCCAGAAAAAAAGGTTATTAGTTGTGACCAGTAGACTAAGTTCTGTTTATTGGGATGGAAGTCTAAGTAATGTATGCAATCTCTGGGATGTGTTCCTAAGGGAAGGAACATACCCTTTTTTCCCCCCTTTTTCTTCTTCTTCTTTCATGCCAGGTGAAATGAGCCTGTGGTGGTTGGTGCTGTAGCAGTTAATTTTGAGGATTACCCTAGCAATGGAGATCAAACACATCAGAACAACAAGATGGAAAAAAAAAAACTTGGCTCCCTCCTATGGGAGAACCTTGTATCACTTCCTCCAGACATTCATGTTGATCAAAATTCTGAATGTTGCTTAGATATAAGTACTATTTCCTCTCCAAAAAGTTACATGATGGCTATAGAATCATTTTAATAAGATTTTATTTATTTATTTTGCTTTCAGATTGTTGTGAATAAGATTCATCCAATTTTTTTTGTGTCTATTTTGTTAACATTAATAACCAAAGGATGTAGGTTGTAGCCATGGAACAGTTTGGTTAACTAGTTTAGACTAGGATCAGATATGTAATCGTGACTTAATTCCTATAAATTAGTTAATATAATCTACATAAAGATGTTTGTCTTATCTTGTAAGAGCCAGGATTTTGTATATTTTTGCCCTGGCTGGTGAGGCTCAGTTGGTTGAGTGTCATTCCATTCATCAGAAGGTTGCTGGTTTGATTCCCAGCCAGAGCACATGCCCAGGTTTCTGGCCCAATCCCCAGTCAGGTTGTGTGTTTGTGGGAGGCAAGCAATCAATGTTTCTCTCTCTCTAAAAATCAACAAAAATATATATATTTTAAAAAAATAAACATTTTTCATAAATTTATGTTTTCATTGTGCTTATTAAAATTGTTTTTATTACATTTATTTTAAGAAGGTATTATTTTAAAAGTGCCTCTTAACTAAAACCATTTCACTTAAGTTTTGCAAAGATCACAAGTGTACTTTTTTGGTCTATTTGTAGAATTGCTACTTTTCTTACTTTTACTTTTGTAGAATAAGTGAAATATTTAAATTTTTAAACAAGTTTTAATTTCTAATTTTGAAAACTCCCCTTACTGCTGTCTTCAGATTCTCTCACTACAATTTATTGAGAACTGACCTTCATGTTTGATAAACAAGGAGGTCATCTGATGACCTTGAGAAGGTGGAGGAAGCCAATTTGGACTGAGATGAGGGAAGAATATGAAGAAGGGGAGGTTGTGCCTATCATAACTGTTTCCACAAGTTTTTCTGGAAAGTCATTTCATACGTTAATGAGAAAGAGTTGGTGAGAGGGGATTCCAGGAGCAATTTCACTCAACAACCAAAGTGCCACTATGATATGCAAGGGCATGGTGCTACCTCCTGTAAGGACACTAAAACGTGAGTCCTAAATGCTTGGCACCTTAACAATCCCGGGTGAAACAGGAAACATGATAGTTTCACAAACATATAGGTACAGTATCAAACGCCATTGTATAAGTGAAAATGTAAGAAAAAGGAAGGATGCATCGCTTTTACTTGGGTTAAATGAGGACTTCTTGAAGATCATAGAAGCTACTTGTTTTTGCTAAGTCAGTGTCAAGGTCATTTTCACAAGGATCATTATGTGTCTTAAGTTTTTGTGTGTGTGTGCGCGTATGCTTGTCGCCAACACTGGGCAGGATCTAGAGTAACGCCTGGCACAGTCACTCAATATTGCGTCATTATAATAAAAATAATATGGTAATTCTAAGTATTGATTTTTGGAGTTTATATAAATGAACGCAGGTATGCATTGATGGCAGTGAGCTTCTCGGGGCGGTGGCCCTTGTCTTGCTCACCTTTGGACCCCGGGCTCGCGGGGGGTGCAGTGAACAATTCGCTGTGCTCTCTGATTTCTCAAAATCACCGAGTCGGACCAGCAGCATCGCGGGGTCCCAGGGGCCAGCCCGGCAGGACAGGGCTCCAGGTCCCAGCCGCCGGCCGGCAGTGCCCACTCCGGGCGCCAGGGGGCGCCGGCGCGCGGCGGCTCCCAGCACCCCCCAGCGAGGAGCGGGCCGCCGACGCCACGGACCGCCGACGCCATGCGGGCGCTGCTGCCGCTGCTGCCGCTGCTGCGTACCGGCCGGGGCGGGCGCGCGGGCGCCCTCGTCGTCCGCCTGCGGGAGGGAGCGGCCGCTGGGCCCGCGCCGCGCCGCGCCATGGCCTCGTACCGCACGGAGGGGCGCGGCGAGCCCCCCTCGCCCGGCTACCGCCTTTTCTTCAGTGAGTACCGGCCGGGCCCCGCCGCGCGGCGGCTGCGGAGGCTCGTGTGTCACCGGCGCCCCGCGCAGCCTTCCCGCCTCCCTCCTCCCTCCTGGGGGCCCCCATGGCGGCCCAGACCGCCTTCCCGCGTACCCAGGCCGCGCCGAGCCGCCGGAGCGCCGCGGCGGGAGCGGCCGCCGTCCCGGAAGGCGGCGCGGAGGCAGCGCGCCCAGCGGCGCCCCGCCCTCCCGGGCCGCGCGCGCGGTCACCCCGCCGGCCCCGCAGCCTTTACCCGACTCCGGCCGCCACCGGCTCCCGCAGGTGAGGGGGGCGGGGAGCTCTCCACCCCGCCCGCCGGCCCGCCCCCTGGCGGCCGCGTGGCCTGGCTCCTCCTCCCGCTCCTCCCCGGGCTCCTCCCCCGGCTCCTCCCCGGCTCCTCCCTGGGCTCCTCCTCGGGCTCCTCCGGCTCCTCCCCAGGCTCCTCTCTGGGCTCCTCCCCAGGCTCCTCCCCAGGCTCCTCCTCTGGGGGCGGCCCGCTGTGCTATTGGAGAGGCGGGCGGAGCCCAGATGTCTAGCCGAGCGGGGACTCTGATGATCCCCTAGATCAGTGTTTCCCAAACGTTTGACATATGTGTACCCCTTCTATAATTTTCCTAACGCTGAGTACCCCTCCTACTCATGAGAACGTAGAATTAGGTGCAGCTAAGCAGGGGGCAGTGCATATCCCCACCAAACTCCGGTGCAACGCGTACCCCCACTAAACTCTTCCCGTACCCCTGGGGGTACGCACACCACACTTTGGGAAACACTGCTAGAATCTAGTGTTTACACTCACAAACTTCCACCTTGAATGAAACCCACGCTCCAGAGCCTCACTGGCTCCAGGGGAGCGCCCCCCCCTCCCCCAACCCGTCCCCAAAGTGAGCAGGCCCAAGCCCGGAGGGCAGGGGGCTTTCTGGGCGCCGGACTGGCCCGCTAAGACGGGCAGAGAGACCCAGGTCCCCGTTATTCTCGCTTTTCTTTGCACCCAGGTATTTCTCTGTGGAGCCCCCTATAACCCGAAAAGAGCAAAGTTGGTAGTGATGTAGCCATGCTTCACTGAGTTCAGAGCCCCCCTTAGAGCTTGGGGGTGGAGAGTCGTCCTTTTTTTTTTTTCTGTGAAATCAGCCTAGCAGCATCCCCCACCTGTTAGGAGCATCCCCTCCAGAGTGTCAGGCCTAAGCTCGAACGCTTCAGCTCACAGCTTTGGCCCCGGACACGTTTCCTAACTTGCTGAGGCTTGGTTTTCCTCATCTGTAAGCAAAACAAAAAACAAAACAAAACAAACAAAAACATGGCAGGTGATTTAGCCATAGGTCTAGCATGTACATTACCACAATAATACCTGTAATCATGGTCGTAATTGATGTCTGTAATTTACAAACTATTTACACATTCCTCATCCGAGCTTAGGGCTGAGGAGCAGTTTATGGCAGAGAAACCTGAGGTTGCCTGGCTTAGACCTTGTGATTATAACGCAACGGGTTCTAAAAATCCCCATTTTCTTAAAATTGGTTGCTTGTCCCCTCCATGCTACATACACATTCTTTTTCATCCTTGTGTGGGTATGACTGACCCTCAATAGGAACCCTCAGTAAGAAATCCCACCTTTCTGCACGGGTTGTGTTCCAAAAGTTACAATGAGATGATTTTGGGGAACAGTTTTTTTCATAGAAAGTGGTAAAAATGGCAGTTAGGTTTTTAAGCAGATAAAGGCATCTCTAAGGCATGATATGGTGAAGGTATTCTAGATTTGCCATAAGTATAGTATTAATGATAGACAAAAAAAAACAGTCAATCTTTAAGAAGTAAGCTCAGCACTGTTAGGAATGGCATTGAGTAGATTTAGTTATGGGCCCTACTCTTGAGATTCATGACATCAGCATAATTAGTTAAGAAGAATATAAAAACACTAACATTCTGTTTGGATGTTAATTGAGAAAAAAACAGTCTCGAGGAGCCTGGAGCACATGACGTAGGTGACAGGCACTGGCTTTGGAATGGGGCGTCCCAGGCCATAAGCCTGGCTCTGCCATGTGCCCGCACTGTGTGCTGTTGGGCAGGTGATTGCTTCATTTTGTTCTCTCGGGGCCACTTGACTGGTAGCTGTAAAATGAAGCCGTTGGCCTCACAGTGATCTTCCAGGTCCTTCTCAGCACTGATATTCTTTGAAGGCGTTGGATAACTAATAAACATCCTAACGACCTCTACTGAGGCAAAGCCTCCTTGAGGGCATTTCTTAGGCTGTATTTTATATTGGCCGCTCACTGTGTATTGAAGACTTGTGATTTTTCTGTAACTAGCATGCCACAAATAGAATATTTTTTTCATTCTGTTAGGATAAACAGCAGAAAGGAAGAAGAAATGTTTTACTGAGGTAAATGGGCAAGAATTGGAAGAAAGGGGAGTGTGGTTTTGCAGAGGGCCAGATGATGAGACAGTAATTGGAAGGTAGGTTGTTGAAACAATTTCTGAGCTAAACGCCAGATGGCATCCTTGGCCCAGGACTGTTAATACTTGCTGGAAGGGGTAAGACAAAGTGAAAGGAAGCTCCTTTAGGGTAAGGGGGTAAGGGGAAAGCAGTAAACAAGTAGCTCTTTGTAAAGATGGTCACAAATGAGATGTTTTAAATTCTGATGGTACCTGTATGCAGTACTAGGGTGCAGTTCTGTCTCACTTCAAAGAAAAACACGAGCATAGCACTCCTTGGCTGGAAAGTGTTGTTCAGCATTATGAAGGCGGAATCATTCCCCACATTTCCTAATATATCTGGAATACCAGCGCAGTGGGAAGTAGACCATTTTTTTAGTTTAATGTTTGTCAATGGGTTCTAGCTGCCATTCAGAGGAATCAGAATAAGTAATTGATGTAATACTTCCCCCCCTTTTTAATTAGTTTTGAACATTATAGAAACAGTTATTAAAGTAAGAAGACACAAGCGCATCCTGATGGAATCAGCAGGCCACTTGGTGCCAGTCCTGGCACTGTGAGTAACTTTGTGTGTGGCCTGACTGAGTCATTTAACCTTTCTCTACCTGACTTGATTTAACCATGGAAAGAAGAGATTGGACTAGATGATTATTTTCCAAACTGTACTTAGTTGAGCACAAGCAAACCATGGATGTTACTGGGTTTTCTTTTAAAAAGGTCTTCATGGTTTAATAAATTAGCAGAACATTTCCCATTTTATTGCCTCTTTAAAGTTCTGGGAATTCTGATGTCACTGTCCCAAATTTTGAACTCCAGAGTCCCGGTTTCTCAGAATATTATTTAATATCTTAGTGACTCCTAGCGTTTCAGGGAATTTAGTTTGGGACATGCTGATTGAGATGATTTCTGAAACTTCCAGAAGCAAGTCTAGACTGTTTCTGTAACACAACGCTAAGTCAAACGCTTAGGTTGTGGGCCTGGCTTGATTATCCTGGGTATCTGAAAAATGGGGATACCAGTAATAATTTTACCAACTTATTGTGGTAGTTAAATGAGACTGTGTATAGATATTTAATATGTTATTTCCTTTCCTATTTGACTTTAAGACATAAAATCAAAATTCTTACATCATTCTGTGAAAGGTGAAAACAGTGGAATGTGGATAAAATGGAATATTTTGAATCTATTTCAATTTATTAATTCGCAGGTCTCAAGAGTTTTTTGTTACTGCCCTACAGTCTTGAATTAATTGTAAAGTCATAATACAGGTTATACTTATTACATGGGGCCAAAATCTATACATGTCAGCATTCCCCTTTGATAGCCTGCATATTTTGCTTGTTTTGTTTCATTAATAACTTGAAAATGTACTTTTCATAATTTGGATTTTTATTACTATGGAGTTACTGAAACAGTGCTATGGATAATTGCATTTGTTTAGCATGAGGATGAATCATGCAGTTCTTTAACAATGAATTTTTTTTATCATTTATAGTTAGCATGTGCTTATGTTGAAATTACTGTATGTTCTTCTTTTTAAATACATTTTTATTGATTTCAGAGAGGAAAGGAGAGGAAGAAGCTGGACTGGTTTGCATGGACTTCACTCAAGGGGCCAAAGAGCCATTTATGGCTCGAGAATCGCAGTTTGCCAACAGCGGCTCTAGCTGATGCCATCCAGTCCCATAGCTTTAGCTTCCATCTATGCCTCCCAGATTTGTAACATTTAGCCCCAGGTTCTTGAACACAGAATTTACTCATCCAGCCTCCCACTCTGTATCCTACTTAAATGTTTACGAAGCATCTCAAGGTTAACATATACAAACCAGAAATCCTGACCCCTCCCCTCGCATTCCTGCCTGTTTTCACATCTATAACTAGTAACCTAGGAATCGTTCTTGTTGCCTCTTACTTTGACCCCATCTTAGTTCATCAGTCTCTTCCCTTAGCTCTGCTTTTAAATGTATCCAGAAGACAATTACATCTCTCCCCTTCCACTCCTGTCACTTTTTTCCATGTTACCATCATCTTTCACTTAGCCAGTAGCTTCCTGCTTCCAGCCTTGTCCCCCTGTAGTCTGCTTTCCACACACAAGTCACCTTGACCCTTTTAAAATGTAAGTCAGGTCATGACCAGACTCTGCTCAAACCCCAGCAGCTTTCCATTTCACTCAAAATAAATTTTAAATATTTACCATGTGACCTAATACTCGGCTTCCTCTCTGAATTCATCACACACCACCCTTCCCTTTGATCATGTGTTCTGCCATCCTGCCTCCCTGCCTGTTCTCAGAAATGCTGTGCATATTCTTGCCTGTGTGCCTGCAGTGTTCCTCCCTACCTGTCCGCTTGGCCTCTTCCTCACGCCATTCAGCTCTGTGCTGCATGTGGCCCATCAGAGAGACCTTTCATGGCCTTTCAGTGTAATAGTTTCCCCTCCCATTATTCACTCTCTTCTTTCCCTGATCAGTTTTCCTTTATGGTACTTCTTATGCCTGATATCCTAAAAACATACTCATTTTCATTGCTTTTGTAAATCCTTCTCCCCTGAAT